CAACAGGGGTTTGGTTGTTCATTTAGGAGCTACAGTTATAACTTTATATCTGGAAATATATGGGGCATTTACAGCTTTCTGTGTATTCGTGACTTGAATAGCAGTGTTTCAGTTCAGTTTTGATCGACCCCATCCAAAGACATTTTTACTGTTCAGTTTCAGTCTTTAATCTGAACATTTCCCCCCCCCAAAAAATAAAAAATCTTGACTTGTTTTTAGTTATCATGCTCACAAACACACAAAAGACCTTTTTTGTTACACAAATATTTTAATAAATAGTTAATAAATAATGTAAAACATGAATATCAATAAATAATTTATCAAAACAAATAAATAGATTCAATAATGAACATAAATATTCAGCATGGAGATCTAGCTTATGAATATGAGTGTCATGCAGTGGTTTCCGGTGTGAGCGACATCACTTCCTGTGGTCTCCGGAGCCGATGTATGCGAGCGCTCTGTTCATGGTGATGGCCCGCACGTGGAAGCCCTTCAGTGTTTTGCACAGGGTCACACGGTTCTCGAAGGACGTCCCGCTCCACTTGCCCCACTGCGAACAGAGGGAACGAGCGGATGAATGGAGGAAGGAGTGTGTGTACAGGGCTTCACATTAACACACACACACACACATGTATTATATATTGAAGTCTGAAGTCACTTTGGCAGGTTGACTTTTATATATAATACACTTTTCAATTGTAGTTTTTCATCTGAAGGACTAAACTAAATGCAATGTAGTTTGTCAAAAATAATGATTTTTTGATGCAGAAATATATGAAACGCTTCCAACACTCCAAACAACAAAAAACACATATCACACTTATCTCTCCAACAGTGGGTGAAGGACAAACCCGCCTCCATTCACTCACTGCTCCGGATGATTATTGTTGGTGTTACAGGGCTTGATTTTCAGCGTGGGATTGTGTGTATTGTGCAGAATTTTACTTAAAATAATAATAAATCATAATTTTACTCACACAAATTTTGTGCACTTTTGCTGATAATTTACTCACCCCCATGTCATCCAAGATGTCCACGTCTTTCTTTCTTCAGTCGAAAAGAAATTAAGGTTTTTGATGAAAACATTCCAGGATTCTTCTCCATATAATGGACTTCAATGGGGTCCAAACGGTTCAAGGTCCAAATGAGAGTTTCAGTGCAAACTGTTCAAAGGGCTTTAAACGACTCCAGACGATGAATAAGGGTCTTATCAAGCGAAACGATCGCCTTGCTCTGTTCTGTGTGACTCTCCTGTTCAAACTTGTTAATTAAAATGTTTTTTTACTGTTTTTAAATGTTTTTATTTTATTTTACTGTTTTTAAATGTAAATTTTTAAATGTTTTAATGATTAATTAATTAACTAATCTTTTCCAGAGTCATTTGATTCATTCAATGAACAAAATGAACGAATTGACTCTGTAAAAGATTTGTTCATTTTAATGAACGAGTTCGAACAGGAGAGTCACACAGAACAGAGCAAGGCGAGCATTTGAGCTTATAAAACTTAAACTTTGTTATTTATTAATTAAATGAGCGCTCGTTTTGCTTGATAAGACCCTTATTCATCGTCAGGAATCGTTTAAAGCCCTTTGAACAGTTTGCACTGAAACTGTCTTTTGGACCTTGAACCGTTTGGACCCCATTGAAGTCCATTATATGGAGAAAATGCTGGAATGTTTTCATCAAAAACCTTAATTTCTTTTCAACTGAAGAAAGAAAGACATGGACATCTTGGAAGACACGGGGGCGAGTAAATTATCAGCAAAAGTTTTTTTTAATAAAGTGAACTACTTTAAACCCAAAGCGTGGCACACAAAGCCTCTCAGGACTCAATTCAGTTGCACTCAGTCAAATACACACAAAATTGTGTCAAAAGGCCGAGGATTCACGTGAACACAGTTATTTAAGTTTTTTAAGTGAAAATAAACAGAAAGAAAACATGTGTAACAGTGTATTGGATGCATGTATTCAGCCTAGTATTATGAGATAATTAAATAAGATGCAGTGAGAAAGCTGAGTGTACTGGTGACTGTGGGAGAGCACACAGTGACTGGTGAGGAAAGAGACACTCACCTCAGGAAACGCTCCATTAGCGGCGGCTCCGTCTGCTGTCAAGCACTTCAAAACAAGCACAGTCTTCATCACACACACATTTGACACACACACCTTTTTATCATTCAACATATAAACACTAAATTGAAACTAGCTTGCTAACCAAACGTCCGCCTCATTCTGCTACTGTTCCTCAAACATGGCATTATTTCACAGTAACTGACACATGATTGAGAGATGGAGATCCTCACCTGCTCGAGGTCAGAGGTGGCCGTCTGGACAGGACTCAGGTCACTCGCTGTGGGCTTGTAGGACTTCAGCAGAAGCTTATAATAGTGCAGATCTCTTCTGATGTTCCTCAAACACTCCTCCTGAGAGAAAACAGCAGCGCGTGAGACACCCGACTCAAGCCGGAGCGATTATTAAACATGTTAAACATCTCCGCGGACTCACCTCACTGAAAGAGGAGGACCTCTGGCTGGAGCAGGACATGGCCTGAAATCACAAGCATTAACAAATGAGGAAAAGACCAGCAGAACAACACACACGACGACGTTTGGTCGTAAGTTCAAACACTGTGAGCAGATCTACTCTTCTTTAATGATGAAGATGCAGTTCTGAACCCTGAGACTGAACTTCAGCTGAAGTGTGTGTGTGTGTGTGTGTGTCCTCACATCATCCGAGGCGCTGGGCTGACAGACGGAGGCGGTCTGAGTGTGAGGAATCATCTGAGCCTCCAGATCAGTGCAGTTAAACCCAGCGAACAGATCCTGATGCTCCATCTTCCCCTCCTGCGCTCAACACACACTTCACATTAAACACGTACGCATCTATTTCTTCTATATATGTGTTCGTAAAATCCCTTCAACAAGCCAACAACACACAGTGACATCATTCTGGAGGGAAACCAGCAACACAAACACCAGAGTTTCAGCTGAATTCTGGGATGTTTGGTTTGGTCACATGTCTGATGTGGATGTTGTGTGACTGTATTTGTGTTTCTGGACCTGAGCACACATCCACAACCATATTACACACTTTATTTAACCCTAAAAACGTATTCTGGACAAATGTGGGCAAAATAGATTTGATTTATTTTTTAAAAAAATACTTCCCTTGATCTGAGCGGTACAAGATTTGGCTACTTTTCCTAAGTTTGCCTCCTGAACACACACATTTTTTTTTTTTGACTTAAGTGGGTGAAAAAAAACTCCTTAATCTTGTATTTGGGTCAAAAATGGGCACCCATAGAAATGAAATGAATGGGAAAAACTGAAAGTTAGAGCATTAAACTAAAATAAGCCAAAATAAGACACCAGCTGACGGCAAAGTCACTTCATCTTTAGGGTTTAGCTCTAAGAACTTACTGGAATGATATTTTAATGTAGTTAAAAAAATAAAACATAAAAATAAGCATAATTTACATAGAAAATATGGTACTTTTTGAAGTGAATAAATTCAAAAATATCCCCAAAATATAAAAAAACACCATAAATGAATAGACAAAACTTTATCGAAGACTGTGATATAACATTTATAATAAATACAAATTAGGATCAGTCCTCTGTGCCCACATGTGTCCACAATTACAGGATTAAGGGCTATAAAGTGAATCACTCACTACACTTTCAGAAACACTACTGAAAGCCCTTGTGTTTGATGCATTATTAAAGTATTTTAATGCCTTATAACAGACTGTGTGGTCTTATGAATAAGTGTAACCACAGTTATAATACATTATAATTCTTATGTAGTCATTGTAGACATGTTTAGAAAGTATACTGCATTAAAACACACGACAATCTGCAAATATTAAATGCATTTGAACTTTGGTTACACTTATCTATGAAAATATGTAATGCATTAAGTGAAGTGTTGAACATCTGTGTGACAGTGTGAGATGAACGTACCTTCTCCATGATGTGTGTGAGGCTGGACAGCAGAGATCTGGCAGAGCTGGCGCACCGACACGAGTGTGTGTTCAGAGGAACTGGAGAACCCAGCGCAAGAGCCACAACTACACACAACACAGCGCCTGCACACACACACACACACACACACCGTCAGACGCGGCCTCACCTCACACAGCTGTCAGTCCTCAACATGAACCTTCAACCGCTCTAACTGACAATCAGTGTGTGACGACTTGATACTCACAGATCTTCATGGTGTGTGTCGTCAGGTCAGAGTGTGTGTTCTAGTAAGAGTGTGATGGCTTTATACTGTACACATGGATGATTGGGGAATCCCTCAGTGATGCTCTAAACCTCACTGGTGTGCTACACACACACACACACACCCACAGACAGAGAGAGTTTTTCTTTTGGTTTGTTGTTGTGCTGAAACTGGAATAAACACACACGCTCGCATCATCAGTGACCTCAGCACACACTGACATTTCACTTCATTCAAAAGTTACAACCACAAATCTCAATTGTCATCAATACCTGAGTGATGATGATGATGATCTGCTGTAGTCTTCTCACTCTTCATCACACGATGTGGTGAACTTACAGGATTTCTTTTGGTCGCAATAATGTGTAATAACAGTCATATTCGGCCTCAAATAGAACATGAGGCATACATTTACTTGATCTGTGGGAGTGACAAATTTCCAAAGTGAAACACATTCATTTACAAAACGGCAAATAATTGAGCCGAGGAAGAAAAGCCACTTCTGAGATGACTAACGGCGTTTCTGGAAACGAGAGTCACTGAAACTGGATGAAAGAAAATGTACAGTACATCACATCTGAAACACTTACAGTGTTAACATCAGTGAATGCACTAACATGAACAGCTGGATTGACATTATTAACAAATACTGTAACAAATACTGTACTGCTCATTGTTCATGTTAGTTAATAATGCTAACTGATAATGAACCTCACAGTTAATCCGTTTCATTCTACTGTAGATCATAAAGACGACCCAGCAGGCCACAGTGTATGAAACCAAGTTTTATTTTTCTTATTTTATACATATCTGTACATAAGCATCTCCCTCAAATAAACAATCTCAATACAATAGAATGAAAATGATATTAACACACTTATTATTATTCAAATGACTCGTGTCAGAATCAACATTCACGAACCGTTGAAAACCAGTCGGAGTGAACGTCACCGAAAGCTACAGGTCGAGTACAAGGCAGGCGTGCTTCCCTCCTCACACACACACACACACACACACACACACACACACACACACACACACACACTGTCCACCTGGAGCACGACACGGGGAAATCACGGCTGTTCAGAACACTCTTTTTCTTCTTCTTTTCTAAAACTTGAATTCAATTTCTCATTGTATGCTTTGACGGTTATAATTTAGTGGCAACGGTAAGAGACGGCAGCGGATGAGTGAGCGAAGGCCGAGCGCTGGAGTGTGTGGGACGTCCCGTGTGTGTTATGATGAACCACAGAAGCAAAGGAAAGGTGTGTGATCTGATCTGATGGTGTGGAGGGTCTTCATTTAGATGGCGTTTTCTCTGCCAGGTGTTTCTGCTGGCTCTGAGCGTGCCTGTGGACACACACACACACACACACACACACACACACACACATTGAGTTTTAATGTTTTTTAGGACCATAGGTGTATATTCTCTCTCCTTACCCTAAACCTATCCATCACACACACACACACACACACACACTAACCTGACCCCTAAACCTACACTAAACCAACCCCTAAACCTACCCATAACACACACACACACACACACTAAACAGTAAACACACAGTTAACAGTAAACACAGTCTAGTGGGTAGTTATAGTAGTTAAACAGTAAACAGTCTCGTGGGTAGTTAGAGTAGTTAAACAATAAACAGTCTTGTGGGTAGTTAGAGTAGTTAAACAATAAACAGTCTTGTGGGTAGTTAGAGTAGTTAAACAGTAAACAGTCTCATGGGTAGTTAGAATAGTTAAACAGTAAACAGTCTCATGGGTAGTTAGAGTAGTTAAACAGTAAACAGTCTCATGGGTAGTTAGAGTAGTTAAACAATAAACAGTCTAGTGGGTAGTTAGAGTAGTTAAACAGTAAACAGTCTCATGGGTAGTTAGAGTAGTTAAACAATAAACAGTCTCGTGGGTAGTTAGAGTAGTTAAACAATAAACAGTCTTGTGGGTAGTTAGAGTAGTTAAACAATAAACAGTCTTGTGGGTAGTTAGAGTAGTTAAACAATAAACAGTCTTGTGGGTAGTTAGAGTAGTTAAACAGTAAACAGTCTCATGGGTAGTTAGAGTAGTTAAACAATAAACAGTCTAGTGGGTAGTTATAGTAGTTAAACAGTAAACACAGTCTTGTGGGTAGTTATAGTAGTTAAACAGTAAACACAGTCTTGTGGGTAGTTAGAGTAGTTAAACAGTAAACACAGTCTTGTGGGTAGTTAGAGTACTTAAACAGTAAACACAGTCCCGTGGGTAGTTAGAGTAGTTAAACAGTAAACACAGTCTTGTGGGTAGTTATAGTAGTTAAACAGTAAACACAGTCTCGTGGGTAGTTATAGTAGTTAAACAGTAAACACAGTCTCGTGGGTAGTTAGAGTACTTAAACAGTAAACACAGTCCCGTGGGTAGTTAGAGTAGTTAAACAGTAAACAGTATTGTGGGTAGTTATCGTAGTTAAACAGTAAACACAGTCTCATGGGTAGTTAGAGTAGTTAAACAGTAAACACAGTCCCGTGGGTAGTTAGAGTAGTTAAACAGTAAACACAGTCTTGTGGGTAGTTATAGTAGTTAAACAGTAAACACAGTCTTGTGGGTAGTTAGAGTAGTTAAACAGTAAACACAGTCTTGTGGGTAGTTATAGTAGTTAAACAGTAAACACAGTCTTGTGGGTAGTTAGAGTAGTTAAACAGTAAACACAGTCTTGTGGGTAGTTATAGTAGTTAAACAGTAAACACAGTCTTGTGGGTAGTTATAGTAGTTAAACAGTAAACACAGTCTCGTGGGTAGTTAGAGTACTTAAACAGTAAACACAGTCCCGTGGGTAGTTAGAGTAGTTAAACAGTAAACAGTATTGTGGGTAGTTATCGTAGTTAAACAGTAAACACAGTCCCGTGGGTAGTTAGAGTAGTTAAACAGTAAACACAGTCTTGTGGGTAGTTAGAGTAGTTAAACAGTAAACAGTATTGTGGGTAGTTATCGTAGTTAAACAGTAAACACAGTCTCATGGGTAGTTAGAGTAGTTAAACAGTAAACACAGTCCCGTGGGTAGTTAGAGTAGTTAAACAGTAAACAGTCTTGTGGGTAGTTAGAGTAGTTAAACAGTAAACACAGTCTTGTGGGTAGTTAGAGTAGTTAAACAGTAAACACAGTCTCGTGGGTAGTTATCGTAGTTAAACAGTTAACACAGTCTTGTGGGTAGTTAGAGTAGTTAAACAGTAAACACAGTCTTGTGGGTAGTTAGAGTAGTTAAGCAGTAAACACAGTCTTGTGGGTAGTTAGAGTACTTAAACAGTAAACACAGTCCCGTGGGTAGTTAGAGTAGTTAAACAGTAAACACAGTCTTGTGGGTAGTTATAGTAGTTAAACAGTAAACACAGTCTTGTGGGTAGTTATAGTAGTTAAACAGTAAACACAGTCTTGTGGGTAGTTAGAGTAGTTAAGCAGTAAACACAGTCTCGTGGGTAGTTAGAGTAGTTAAACAGTAAACAGTCTTGTGGGTAGTTAGAGTAGTTAAACAGTAAACAGTCTTGTGGGTAGTTAGAGTAGTTAAACAGTAAACACAGTCTCGTGGGTAGTTAGAGTAGTTAAACAGTAAACAGTCTTGTAGGTAGTTAGAGTAGTTAAACAGTAAACACAGTCTCGTGGGTAGTTAGAGTAGTTAAACAGTAAACAGTCTTGTGGGTAGTTAGAGTAGTTAAACAGTAAACACAGTCTCGTGGGTAGTTAGAGTAGTTAAACAGTAAACAGTCTCCTGGGTAGTTATAGTAGTTAAACAGTAAACACAGTCTTGTGGGTAGTTAGAGTAGTTAAACAGTAAAAACAGTCTCATGGGTAGTTAGAGTAGTTAAACAGTAAACACAGTCTCGTGGGTAGTTAGAGTAGTTAAGCAGTAAACACAGTCTCGTGGGTAGTTATAGTAGTTAAACAGTAAACACAGTCTTGTGGGTAGTTAGAGTAGTTAAACAGTAAACACAGTCTCGTGGGTAGTTATAGTAGTTAAACAGTAAACACAGTCTTGTGGGTAGTTAGAGTAGTTAAACAGTAAACACAGTCTTGTGGGTAGTTATAGTAGTTAAACAGTAAACACAGTCTTGTGGGTAGTTATAGTAGTTAAACAGTAAACACAGTCTCGTGGGTAGTTAGAGTACTTAAACAGTAAACACAGTCCGTGGTAGTTAGAGTAGTTAAACAGTAAACAGTATTGTGGGTAGTTATCGTAGTTAAACAGTAAACACAGTCCGTGGGTAGTTAGAGTAGTTAAACAGTAAACACAGTCTTGTGGGTAGTTAGAGTAGTTAAACAGTAAACAGTATTGTGGGTAGTTATCGTAGTTAAACAGTAAACACAGTCTCATGGGTAGTTAGAGTAGTTAAACAGTAAACACAGTCCCGTGGGTAGTTAGAGTAGTTAAACAGTAAACACAGTCTTGTGGGTAGTTATAGTAGTTAAACAGTAAACACAGTCTTGTGGGTAGTTAGAGTAGTTAAACAGTAAACACAGTCTTGTGGGTAGTTATAGTAGTTAAACAGTAAACACAGTCTCGTGGTAGTTATAGTAGTTAAACAGTAAACACAGTCTTGTGGGTAGTTATAGTAGTTAAACAGTAAACACAGTCTTGTGGGTAGTTAGAGTAGTTAAGCAGTAAACACAGTCTTGTGGGTAGTTAGAGTACTTAAACAGTAAACACAGTCCCGTGGGTAGTTAGAGTAGTTAAACAGTAAACACAGTCTTGTGGGTAGTTATAGTAGTTTAACAGTAAACACAGTCTTGTGGGTAGTTATAGTAGTTAAACAGTAAACACAGTCTTGTGGGTAGTTAGAGTAGTTAAGCAGTAAACACAGTCTCGTGGGTAGTTAGAGTAGTTAAACAGTAAACAGTCTTGTGGGTAGTTAGAGTAGTTAAACAGTAAACAGTCTTGTGGGTAGTTAGAGTAGTTAAACAGTAAACACAGTCTCGTGGGTAGTTAGAGTAGTTAAACAGTAAACAGTCTTGTAGGTAGTTAGAGTAGTTAAACAGTAAACACAGTCTCGTGGGTAGTTAGAGTAGTTAAACAGTAAACAGTCTTGTGGGTAGTTAGAGTAGTTAAACAGTAAACACAGTCTCGTGGGTAGTTAGAGTAGTTAAACAGTAAACAGTCTCCTGGGTAGTTATAGTAGTTAAACAGTAAACATAGTCTTGTGGGTAGTTAGAGTAGTTAAACAGTAAACACAGTCTCGTGGGTAGTTAGAGTAGTTAAACAGTAAACACAGTCTTGTGGGTAGTTAGAGTAGTTAAACAGTAAACAGTCTCCTGGGTAGTTATAGTAGTTAAACAGTAAACATAGTCTTGTGGGTAGTTAGAGTAGTTAAACAGTAAACACAGTCTTGTGGGTAGTTAGAGTAGTTAAACAGTAAACACAGTCTTGTGGGTAGTTAGAGTAGTTAAACAGTAAACAGTCTTGTGGGTAGTTAGAGTAGTTAAGGCACGCTGAAATAAAGTGTAAGCAGAATTTGTCCTTCACTGCTGCAGCTTTTACACCATCACGTTTCTCTGAATATAAAGTGGCCTTCAGTGGTTTGAGTCAGATGCTGGTGTGGTGGACCGCTCACAGGAGACGGGGGACACACACTCACTCACACCTACTGTTTAATGTCCACGTTAGCCACTCCTGGCCGGACCTCTTCAAGGGAAGGGTCTATGTATGGCAAAAGGACAAAAGAAGCTTGTGTAATTTACACATGAACACGACGGACAGCATCACCTGTAGTGTCTGCTCTGACAGCTGAACACTGTGAGTGTGTGTTAGAAATCAGGAGTGGAGAGTGGAGAAATCCCGTCTGGCTAGAGCTCTTCCCATAATATTCCCGCATTAGTCCCACACCGCAGCATCGTGTCGGCCCACAACCGGGACACTTGTTCACTTGTGATCCGATCCACCAAAACACATCTCAATACCAACATAGTTCGGCCCAGATCCGGCCCATATCCGGTACACTTGGATCCGCACACGGCCTGGATGTGGGCCGGATCTGGGCTGAAATATGCTGCCTGAAGGCTTCCTACCATGATGCTGATTGGGTGTGTGAAGCAGGAGCTGCTCACCTGGTGAAGTCCTCGATGTCCACTAACATGGCGTCCTGCTCCATCTGAAGCTCGTCCCGCACCAGCAGCAACTGCACCAGCTCTTCATTCAGACCTGCACAGCAATCACCCGTCAGTGTGTGTGTGTGTGTGTGCGTGTGTGTGTGAGTGTGAGCGTGAAAGTAAGTGTGTGTTACCCTCGATCTGTGAGTGCAGGTCGTTGACGATGACCTGCAGCTGTCCCAGTGTCATGTCTCTGAGGTCTGTGGGCTTCAAACTCCTCTTCATCAGACATTCACTGATGTGTGGCATGTGAGGAAGCTGGAAACACACACACACACACACACAGAGTGAATACTAGGACTCAACCAACAAACATTGCAAATAAGTTGTGAAAACATTATTTCTGTATGTTCAAAACATGAAAATATAAGAATGCTTTTTTGTTGGTTATATGAACATTCCATTTAATCATTAATCAAAAATGATGGAATGTTACTTTTGAATGTTTTCTGAACGTTCTAAAACATGTAGTAAAATGTTTTTTGATGGTTATATGAACATTCAAATCCATTTATCATTATTTAAACTATATGGAATGATACTTTTGAATGTTACTGTTTGGTCTTCATAACGAAGCGTTAGCTACAGTTCTGAGAACATTGCCTGAGGGATATGAATGATGTAAGGGGTGATGTGTGATGGTGAGGAGATATGAACGAGCCGTGTGTTTCTCCGAGCTCCGCGTGTCATTGCTGTGTGTGAAGGGCATGACGGAGACTGGAGAAAAGCTTAACGTCACAGAAACTAAAGCAGGTTTTTGACATTACAAATACTAGTATCACACATGGTAATTCTGCATCAGCTCCAGGTAAAACACCATCTGAAAGTTCCCAGGAGGACTCGCTTCAGACTGACACCGTTCTACTTTCACTTCATACTTCACATGCTTTTCCTACTAAAAATGTTTTTCCCCATTAAAGCTGAGTGAGATAATAAGGAGCTGGACTGTTCAAAGATTTATGAAACATCAGCCAATTCCTCCCCAAATTACGTGTAGGAACTTCATTAATCGCAATGATCCAGACACAAGGAGATAAAGCACGAGACAGTGTGTGAGGAGATGCAGGATAAACTGAAGAAACTGAACACTGCTCTGCATTAAAACACACCGATATCTGTGGATCGATACAAGTGCGCTTTCAGAAAATCAACCAATCAATCAATTAATCAATCAATCAATCATTCAATCAATCCATCAATCCATCTATCCATTCATTATCCATCATCCATCCATCCATCCATCCATCCATCAATCCATCCATCCATCATCCACGCATCAATCATCCATCATCCATCCATCATCCATCCATCCATCCATCCATCATCCATCCATCCATCATCCATCCATCCATCCATCCATCATCCATCCATCCATCCATCCATCATCCACGCATCAATCATCCTTCCATCCATCAATCATCCTTCCATCCATCCATCATCCATCCATCCATCCATCATCCATCCATCCATCCATCATCCATCCATCCATCCATCATCCATCCATCCATCCATCCATCATCCATCCATCTCATCCATCCATCCATCCATCATCCACGCATCAATCATCCTTCCATCCATCAATCATCCTTCCATCCATCCATCATCCACGCATCAATCATCCTTCCATCCATCAATCATCCTTCCATCCATCCATCATCCATCCATCCATCCATCCATCCATCATCCATGCATCAATCATCCATCCATCATCCTTCCATCCATCCATCATCCATCCATCCATCATCCATCACCCGTCCATCCATCCATCACCCGTCCATCCATCCATCATCCATCCATCATCCATCCATCCATCCATCCATCCATCTATCCATCCATTGAATATTGAATCGACTGGTATTTGGACAAGTATCCATCTCAAAAGCTTCAGTGGAGGTGTGTGTGATGATGTGAAATGAGGTTCCTCTGCTGTCTTCACCCCAGTGTATCCTTTAGTTAGGACAGGAACATGAAGCGTCAGATAGTGAGCACACACACACACACACACACAGAGCTGGAGAGTGTCATCTAAAAACATGTGATGCTGATGATGAAATTCATATTCAAATTTAATCTGTACGTTTCCTTTCACAATCAGCCTGAAGTATGGAAACTTGTTTCCACCACACAATAAAACGTTTTATTACACGGCTCTGGAATGCTCGATTCTGATTGGTCAATCGCTCCATCCCGCGGTGTGATATTCCCAGATAACAGAAACACGGGCTCATCCGGGTCACTCGCTAAGAACAGGTTTTCATTCTGGAAGTTTTATGTTTGGTGAGCTAATGAAGTATTATACCTCAATCAATATTTGTGTACAGTTATTAAATGATGCCATCCGGTATCAGGGACTCGCTCTCTCTTGTTTCACACAAACGCAGCGGCTGCTATTGTGTCACTATTGTTCTGTTCACTGTTGGATTATTATGAGATACAAACAGGTGTGATTTTGATACAGTTTCATCTGAAATCAATATCTCTTATCCCCATAATTATATATATATATGTGGTGAAATGGTGTGTAATAAGTGGTATGACTGTATCTCTTAAATGTCCGTCTAGTTTGATCTCGCCACTGAAACTGCTCTCTCTGCACAAGCTTTGTGTTTAAACACCTAATAAAACATTTCAATTCACATCAATATTTCATGTCTAATCATTTACTTATGCTGCAAGTAGCCGTGTAATAATCGGATAATGTACATCCAGCCGGTGGTTATCTCAGAATAAACCCCTTCAGGTGTGTGTGTGTTATCTCAGAATAAACCCCTTCAGGTGTGTGTGTGTGTGTGTGTGTTATCTCAGAATAAACCCCTTCAGGCTGATGAAGACCTGATCCTGATCACCCTGTCAGGGTTTATTCTGAGATAACACACACACACACACACACACACACACACAGACCTGAAGGGGTTTATTCTGAGATAACAACCGGCTGGATGTACATTACCCCTTACTTAAAGGGATACTCCACTTTTTTGGAAATAGGCTCATTTTCCCACTCCCCCAGAGTTAAACAGTCGAGTTTTACTGTTTTCAAATCCATTCAGCCGATTTTCTGATATTTAGAAGAATATCAGTAACCAGACAGTCTCTGGTCTCATTGACTTCAATAATAGGAAAAAAACATACTATGGAAGTCAATGAGACCAGAAACTGTCTGTTTACTGATATTCTTCTAAATATTAAAAAAAAAAGGCCCAATACATTCAAAAACGGTAAAACTCAACTGTTTAACTCTGGGGGAGTGATCAAATGAGCCTATTTCCAAAAAAAAAGTGGAGTATCCCTTTAAAAGATAATTGCGACTTTATATCTCCAAACTGCGATTATATCTTGCAATTCTAACTTTATGACACAAAATTTTGACTTTATTTCATGCAATTCTGACATTATAACACAAAATTGTGACTTTATATTACACAATTGCACTATAAATTTGTGAGACCAAAAGTTTTTATTTTTTTATTCTGTGGAGGAAACAAGCCTCCATATGAAGCGTCTGGTGTTATAGTTTACAACACGCCAGAAATCAGCATGAGAAGACGTCAATTCTCATCTATAAGCACTGGACGACCTCAGGAGCAGCATGAACGTCTCAGACAGTCTCACACAGACAGATGTGGAGGATCGGACGGGTCGTCCAGTGAAACACACCCGTTACTGGGTTCACTGGTGCAAGGCTGCATGAAGTGACCTGATGAAGGCTGAAGCCAGTGTGAGTTTAGTGTGTCAGTGATGAGTTTGAGATGATCTAATCATGGGCTGCCCCTCTGAGGAGAAACAGCATCATAAGCCCCATCTTAAGAGTGTTTCCAAGGAATTCACACAGCCAGAGGAATCAGCGCGAGTGTGTGTGAGAGAAGGACTCGTGCGGTTTCACTGTGGGCGGCAGAAGACGCTCCAGCTCGCAGAGAGGAAGTGTGTGCCAGCTGCTTCCTGCTTGTGTGTGTGTGTCATAGTTTCAGCTCGGGGGTGACAGACGGGAGAGCCAGTCTCGGATCGAGACGTCATCACCATTACTGATTTAAAAGCAGAGCACCTAAAACGTGTCATGATCACCACACACACCACGGACTGCCCAGCCAACCACAAAACATGTCAATGTGACCGCACAGGTTCAGGAGAGGGAATTGCCATGAGTTATTAATATACTGCACTGTAATCTATATTCTACTTAATAATGACTATCGTCATACTAGCAGAAGTTATTAAAATGACACGAATTTCACACTTACTGTGTCAAGATTGAACTAATGTGGGGCTTTATGGTTTCCCATGTGAAAAAGAAGAACACTTTAGCATACTTCATTTAAGTCTGACCTTTGTAGGACTTACAATCATCTTTATGTCATTTGATGTTCCTTCTGTTGTTTTTAAAATATGTGTACTGACAAGCATTTATGAAAATTTGTACTGAAACTTTCATATGTAATGATGAAACTTAAATTTAGCACATTAATAACTTTGATATCAAATAGCACACTACAATTAAATTAAAAGCAAATGTGCTTCAGTAAGTTAGTCAGGATCAATTTCAGAGCACTCCTTTAAAGCACAACACACGATTATCAAAACACTTTGAAATTAGACTGTCGACTTTTAAGTGTACTAAAGAGAGGGGGTATCCTGAAGAACAGCCCTGAACATGTGATCTCTTTTTCCATTAATACTATATTATCTGCAGGTACATTTGAAAAATATACCTATAAATCTTATCTATAAAATATACTTCTTTAGATTTGAAGTGCACACTTCTAAGCACTAAGCACACTAGGGTTATTCTTGATAAATAACTGTTGTGCTTACTGAGCAAAAGTGTGGAGAAATGACAGGCCAAAGTCTTTCATAATCATTGACAATTTCTGTTTTGCAGCCCTCACACACACACACACACCGCACGAGTCTGGTGTGTGTGAGAGAGCGTGACCCGAGAGCACGTACCAGGTCTGCCACCGGGGACTTCTTGCGGTTCTGCTTCTCCACCTGCACCTGCATCTTGGCCATGGGTTTGGCCATCGCGAGCGCCAGCTTGGCCTCGGCCTGCAGCTTCTTCTGCCGGCTCAGGAAGTCCATGTCCTCCAGAGACTCGCAGTCGTCCTCCGTGGTGTCTCTGTCCGAGTAGGACGAGCTCTGCTTGCTCTGAGGACAGAAGATAATGATTCTTCATCTGACCGACTGTGCGCTATTTCCTAATGTAATACGGTAAGCGGAAGAAGAAACTGCTGAACAACACCAACGAAGAAGTGTTGGCATAACCGCGCGAGTCGAACATGAGTACCTTACGTCGGCGGTCCAAAGTGTGGCTTCACTTTTCTAAAAATAACGAAATCTCGGCAAAATGCAAAATTTGTGACAAAAGGAGTATTTCCTTCAGAAAGGCCGTTGGTTAGCAAGGTTAGCTAAACTTTTTTGACCCTGCCTCTTAAAAGAATCGGAATCGAGAATCGTCAGGAACCGGAATCGAAACAAGGAATCAGAATCGTTCAAATTCAAACGATACCCAACGATACCTAACGCTTGCGTCATTATGGTGCGACGGTTTCGGGATAAACAAGACGAGCGGCGCTCTCTGAACACAATGGAGTCCATCGCTCTGTTTTGTTTGTGGATAATTTTAATTTTGTGTCGTTTGGTCCACGGGGGTCACAGCCCTCTCACAGCCTGTTGTTAAACAGATGTGTCGCCTTAGTGGCGTGAAAAATTTCACATAATCGTGTTGCTCGTATGAGGAGTCCTGTTAGCGCTCACACTGCATGCGAACCGCGCCCGAGTTCAACTGAACCTCTTCCAAGCGGGCCAGGGCCGGCTAATCGAGCCTCGCCCGGGCACGGTTCGGAGCACTCACACTAGTCAAACGAACCGCGCTTTGGTGGTCAAACGCACTCGGGCACGGTTCAAACTGGCTAGTGTGAGTACACCCTAAATCTGTCTCCTTTTTCCACTTTCAACCACTCCTGTCCTGATTTCACAGGGCCTATGGGCGGGTGAAGTAACACATAAGAGTTTACACCACGAAAGGAATCCAGTCCCAGATCCCAGATCCGGCCAACGTCTCTGGGCCGTCTGGAATCAAGTGTACCCTATGTGAGCCGGATCTGGGCCGACACTACACCATGTTACCAAAGGTCTTGGGCAATTTGGCCTTTACGTCTGTGTTTGCAGGCACATGAACTTTAATGCCATCCCATTCCTGATCCGTAGGGTTCAATATGGAGTTGGCCAACCCTTTGCAGCCATAACAGCTTCAACTCTCCTGGTAACACCACAACCCCACGCCATGGATTATGGTGTGGGATTGTTAGGTGGAGGGGGGGTTATGGCGTGGGATTGTTTGGTGGAGTTGAAGCTGTTACGGCTGCAAAGGGTTGGCCAACTCCATATTAAACCCTACGGATCAGGAATGGGATGGCATTAAAGTTCATGTGCCTGCAAAGACAGACGTAAAGGCCAAATTGCAAATATGCACACTGTGAGCTTCAGTATGCACTGAGCCGCTCTGGGATTTCACGTGGTCGACCACTTCATGGGTGAGTTTCTGTTGCTTCCACTTTGTTATAACAGTTGAGTGTGGAATATGTTTTAGCGAGAGGAGGCTTCCTATCATGGTACCACGCTTGAATTCACTGAGCTCCTGACAGAGAGCCGTTCTGTCACATGTTCGTAGAAGCGTCTGCATGCCTACTGCTTACCCAATATATTGTATATTGGTGCATTGGGTCAATAAATGTTCTCCCAAAAATAGATGTAGAAGAATAAGTGAGACTAGTGTGTGTGTGTTTGTGAGTCTGTGTGTCCAGGGGGATCCACACATGTCGTGTGTATGTGTGTGTTTTGTGAGTGTCCAGCGGGGATCTACACATGTGGTGTGTGTGTGTGTGTGTGTTTGTGAGTGTCCAGCGGGGATCTACACATGTGGTGTATACTGTAATGATTCAGGCTGACGAGGGTCAGCGTGAGCGAGCACGTGTGTTAGTGATTCAGACTGTTGTGATGATGATGATGATGGTTGTCAGGGTCAGTGTGTGTGTGTGTGTCGGCGGGGTCATTTCTCTGTCCGCTGACCCTCTGTGACTCATGCGTAGCGTTACTGTAATCGCCGCTGCTGGGAAGCCATGGCTCTCAACCACATCCCAGATTCAGGGGCATTCTGGATGGGGCTGTTTCTTGTTTGTGTGACCTCTGTGACACACAGGCGGCGAGAGTAAACGTGTGTGTGTGTGTACCATGGGTGACAGCGGCGTGTCCAGGCTGGTCTCCGTCTTGCTGTCATCGGCGTCGCTGTCCTTGTCGCTGCCGCTGTCGTTGACGAAGCAGATCTGCAGGTTCATGCCACTCTGGAGCCTGCGAACACACTTGCGTTTATCAGTGTGTGTGTGTGTGTGTGTGTGACTGCTTTATTCAAGTCAAAAATATCATTAACATCAGTATATGTGTGGGTTTACACCAACCAAGCTCATTCGTGTGGGTTAAACCCGGCAGAAATAGCTCTTAAATGTAATCATGGCTGATTCACACTATCAGTTTCCCCTCATCTGAAGACTGTAATGCAGGAGAACTGAACCTTCAGAAAACACTGATCACCACAGTTTCAAGACGTTTAGCAAAAAACATCCAATCAGAACAACAGCATTAGAATGGAGTCGCAATTGTGTGTAATAAAGTGAGAATTGGTTAAATTGCATTAATTGTTTTAAATGTTTTAGTCTGTGGTGGAAACAAGCTTCCATAAATTATCCATAGATTTTAGGTTTTTACTGAGGGGATTTTTCATTTCTCTTTTTATTACTCCATACATCAACAACGGGGGAATAAAAGAAACTTTCTGGGATGTTTTTGTGAAATGTTATGATATGATATGAAGAGAGGAATAAAACTGTAAGGTTTAGTGTGTGTAAGTGTTTCTGACAGGAGAACTTTTAAAGATATTGTAATTGAGTGCAATAAAATAAACATTAAAAAGTGCGTTTTGGATGTTTGCTCTGAAACCAGAACTTGTCCAGCGCCTGAAAAACAATGGTTTGTGTCTCGCCGCAAAAAAAACATGGGGTTTATTTATTGCTCATCACAAAGTGAGGTTAAACGTGTCCAGTGGAGGGTAAACTGGGTCACAGGGTTAATGTCTTCCTGTAATAACGGCAGCATTATGACAATCTGTCAACATGACAAAACAATGACCAGAAGTGCTCATGTGAAACAGAAAGTGACTGCAGTGATTGAGGCTAAAGTTTGAAGTGTGTGTGCTGCTTCCCTATTGGGAAGAGTGTGTGTGTCGGGATGAGCCGCTGAGGGGGAAACCCTTCATGTTCATAGAGAGAGAGTGTGTGTGTGAACACAGAAACGTGACGCCGCGACACGACTCTCATACTGCGGCCAGGGAAACTTGTAGAAAAGGCCCGTTGCCTGCAGATCTCTCTCACACACACACACACACACACACACACACTGACCGTGAGGACAGGCTGGGTTTGCCGCTCTTGCTGCAGCTGTTGTAGATGCCCGGCCCATCGTCAAAGAAACTGCCGAGCGCAAGTTTCTGCCGGATCGACTCGCGCTCATTCTTCTGGGCCTGAGACACACACAGAGGAAACACAGGTTAACAGGAGGACACACACACACACACACACACACACACACACACACACACACACACACACACACACAGAGGAAACAGTTTAAAAGGGACACACACAGAGAGAGAGAGAGAGAGAGAGAGAGAGAGAGAGAGAGAGAGAGACCAGCAGGTGGCAGCAGTGAGACATGGAGTGCAGTATCATCACACACACACACACACACACACACACACACACACACACACACACAACACACACACACACACACACACACACACACACACACACACACACACACACACACACACACACACACACACACACAGAGATAGACCAGTAGGTGGCAGCAGCAAGATATGGACCACAGTAGTATCACACACACACAGTCACACACATCTGCTCGGGACAGTCAGAAGATTATCTACACATTATTAAAGAACTTAAATTCTCCATGAAATCAAAATGGACAAATTGTATATTGTAACGGACAGAATCTGTTACTGTTAATTTACTGTTGTTGGAGCACTAGTGTGATGTTTTGGGTCATGTGTAGTTTCATCAAGAGCCACTTGAGGGTGCTATTGCCAGATGGTAACCTATATAAACACACCTACCATAGAGGAAGAGAGTTCGTTTGGTAGAGGGAAATCCATTGTTTGGTTAACCTCATGCTACCTACTGAATTTTGTTGATGGTCCTTTGTTGAGAACCTTGAGTTTCTGCTCAACTGTAAGTATGGATGATGTGATGTATGGATGATGTTGTACTTATTGTGCTTTCTTTTTAGAAAAGACTTTTTGTTCACATGTTCTGTTATGAACATTGAGCAGAGGAATGGACAGTAAAGCCAAGTGGAAACTCCATTGGCAGTTAGACTACACCACATGGACAGTATCGGGGTACAGGGAACAAACATTGCACTGGCTACTGTGATGTAGGATGTGACTTTTTCTCACATTGCATCGCACTCAAAATTGACCTTGTGGAGTATATGTTCATCGTCATCGTCATCATCAGCATCATCAATGTAACCTCTCAAAGGACTGGACATATCAGAGTTAAGTTTACTTCATTGAATGGCTTCATTAGCCTCGTTTCCATCCACTTTTTGCGCTGTTATGTTATCGACAAAGTGAATATGCGAAAAAAAAAAAATACGAAATTTGCCGTCTCCTGACTGTTTCCATTCAATTGACCTTTTACCGATAAGATTGTGTGCGTGATGACGTCACGAATGACGAAAGCGATTTGTCGCATATGTTTTGGTGTATCGCAAAAAAAAAAGTGACTTCAGCCGTTTCCATAAACATTTTTATTTATTTATTTATTTTTTATCGCAAATTATACCTTTTGAGGTTCCAGTCAGCACACCCTCAACACCAAAACAAACAAACAAGAAAATGGAGAGAGTATTCAGGCAGTTAATTGAAATTTGCCAACTTACTGTCATTTCAATTAACAGTTACACAAATAATTGCAAGTGTCCGAAATATCAGAAGACGACGGCAGAATGAAGCAGTTGCTCATCTGATAGGGCTCGAAAACTACCCTTATTATGCGACGAAGCCCAAGCATCTGGGAGAGATGCACGCAATAAGGCGTTCTGGGAGGAAGTTGTGGAGAGACACTTTACAGAAAGTCTCTGGGTGCAACATTTTAGAATGACACGGCCGACGTTTGAGATGCTGTGTGGATTCATTGGTCCTGATGTTGCGCCTACCCCAGGTTGCCACCGACCACCGGTTCCAACACGAAAGCGGATTGCCATTGCCCTCTACAAGCTGGCAACCTGCGCCGAGTATAGAGTGGTAGGCGAAACTTTCGGGGTTAGATTTCTCTGTCGTTTCCCGTCAAAAATACATGTTATATCATTTCCTTCCATTAAATGGAGAAAATAACGAGTCTCCTCATCTGTCCACGAAAACCGCTCCCGAGTCCGCCATAGTGTTTGTTGTGACGACGACTGCACCTTGCGCGTGAGGAAATTATCACGTGACACCACATTTTTTTGCGTGAAAGCCCTTTTTCTCGACAAAAAGTGTTTCCAAACTCGTTTTTCGCGACATTTAAAATATCGACATAACATTTATGCGCTAAAGTTAAACGGAAAAGGATTGTGTCGACATTTGCAAAAAAAAATCGATAATTGGCGTTTCCATCAGCTATATCGGTAAACATTTTGATGCGCAAAACCTTTTTTCGCAAAAAAACCCTTGGATGGAAACCTGGCTATTGTTAAAGAGATGGAGATCTTGAGAGTGCTTTGTAATCTGTTTATTGAGAGTTTGGCACATGGATTTAGCACAGTGGTGTAAATAAAAGAGGTTTAATGTTATTTTGTTTGTGAGGATATTTCTTAATCAGTACAGGTTCAAAGATTTCTGTTGAACCCCTCAGAGTAACAGCTTTTAAAAGAAATGAGGTGTTACACAGTGGCGCCCGAACAGGGACTCTACATTAAACTTTATGGAGTCTTTTGTTAAAAAAAAAAAAAAAAAAATATATATATATATATATATATATATATATATTTTTTTTTTTTTTGACTGTACTGATTGATCCTCACAAGCAGGTAATATAAACCAGCATCCACTATGACAGAGGGTACAACGATCACAGATTTCTCAGGTGAAGCTTTTGCTCAGCACAGAGATTCTGTAGTTAATCTCATTGAATCCTTAAGTGAGTTATACATAGACTCTGAGGAAGAGAAAGAATTCCATGATGTAGCCACTGATCAGTGTGCTCCTGATGACGTGCCATTACCTCCTCCTCCACTTGAGTTTCATGAGGAACGATTGCAATTTGACAATGAAGAAACTTCCCAGAGCATGAGTAGCATTGAGGAGCACCTTGCTGATCTTGAACATCGTGTTAGTGGACTGGTTACCATGGAAGCTATGGATGCAAAGTTTCAAGCATGTGAAGACAGACTTAACTATTGTGTGCAGAGAGAGGTGGATCGCGTTAAGCAGTTGTTCCTTTCACAAATCGACGATTTGGGTCAAAGTATGGTGGATTGCTTAAAGAGACGAGACCGGCAATTAGAGCAACAATTTAAGACCATCAGACCTCTTATTTCTACTCCCATGCACTCCAGTGCTTCTACTACTCCTAAAGAGTCCCAATCCCTATCCAAGTCTGACCCGGTTGCACAAAACCGTTCAAAGCAAGTAACATATTTTTCCTCATCTACTATTCCTCCAGTTAAAATTGAACTACCTACCTTCAGTAATCTTGATGCAGAAGATCCAATTGAGTTCATTGATCGCTTTGAAGAATATAAGGAGCTGAGACCATTGTATGCGGAAGAGCTATTAGCATCATTATCTGTGAGTCTGAAAGGTACTGCTAAGAGCTGGTGGAGAGCGGAGAAACACAAAATAAAAAAATTGGTCTTCTTTCAAAGAAAAGTTCCTTTTTTCCTTTTTAAATGAAGATCATAAAGAAGTTGCTGCCCAAAAGTTAGCAAACTATCGTCAAGGGGTAAATGAGAATATTATAGATTTTGTTTTCAATTACAGAGCACTGTGCCTGAAGAATAATTCTGAGATGTCTGAAAGTGAGATAGTTCAAGCGACTTTAAGAAATTGCAACCCTCGATTGGCTTCGTTGTTAAGGGGAACAGTGAAGACCGTTGACGATCTTGTCCGACTCGGTACTCAGATAGAGAAGGATTGGATGGAGAGTAAAAAGAGATGGCATCAAGGAAAAGAAGAGGAACAGAGGAAGAAATCATCTGGTGGAAGAGGGCAACAAAGTCACCTCATGCTCGTTGATCCTACTCTCAACTCGCAATGTAATAATGTCCTGCAAAGTCCAATCATTTTAAATCACTCTTACTTTAATGCTGTAATTGACACTGGAAGCACCTTCTCTTTGATACAGAGGAAAGTTTGGCAGAGGTTGAGAAGAGATGATGAGTATCTGACCAAAAGTACTCAAACTTTCATGCTTGGTCAGAGTCAGAGAACTCAAGGAAAGGTTCTCTGGGATTGTGAGATATATGGAGTGAAGCTTGCTGTAACATTCTACGTTATGGATGATGTAGACTTGGCAGTTCCTGTCATCCTGGGACTGGATTTCCTAAGGGAAGCCAAAGTAACCATTGATTTTAATTCATCGCGTGTTTACCTGCCTGTTTCCAACACCAGTCACCCTATTCGTTTTAATGAACTTCAGGAGAACGCTGCCATCCAGTTTTATGCTGCACAAAATGATGTGGAATTGATCTCGAAAGAGGAAGGCCTTAAGCTCATTGATCAAGCAGTGGAAAATTCTCATGCCTCCATCAAGGTAAAGAATCAGTTGAAATCTCTGATGTATGATTGGTCATCTGTTTGCACTCATAAGTTAGGACGTACTAACTGCATCAAACATGAAATAAAAACGACTGATGAATTTCCCTTAAGAAAGAGACCTTATCGAGTCTCAAAAGTCAAGAGTGATTTTATTGAAGAACAAATCAAGGAACTGCTGCAACAGAATATTATTAGACCTTCCACGTCTCCATGGGCCTCACCTGTTGTGGTAGTGGATAAGAAGGATGGGGGATCGCGTTTATGCATTGACTATCGTGGTCTTAATTCTAAAACTCACCTCGACGCATATCCAATGCCCCAAATTACAGATATACTAGATTCTTTGCAAGGAGCCAAGGTATTTAGCACTTTGGACTTGAAGAGTGGCTACTGGCAGGTGGAGATGGATGCTGCAAGTGTGGAGAAGACTGCATTTGTAACCGCTTCAGGGTTATATGAATTTTTGTGTCTTCCCTTTGGACTTAAAAATGCAGCTGCCTCTTTCCAGCGTTTAATGGAACAAGTTCTCAGAGACCACAAAAACAGGTGTTGTATGGTATACATAGATGACATCATTGTCTACTCACCAGACGTTCAAACACATTTGCAAGATCTTAAACAAGTTTTCAACAGTCTGCACACTGCTGGTCTCACTCTTAATCTCAAGAAGTGCAAGTTCATCTGTTCATCCTTGGATTACTTGGGTCACACCATCACTGCTG